TGAGCTAAATAAACCTTTCCTTCCTTAATTCTGGGTGTCAGGTATTTTGTCTCAACTAGAGACTAGAGAAAAGTAACCAAGACACCAAGTATATAAATGCACTGCAGTCATTGGGTGGCTTCTTCTCTCCACCAAGAGAGGGCTCCACTTGACCTCAGCTTTCTGCGTTTCACTCTTGCCTGCATTTCTTCATGGTCTTCCTGCTGAGAGTTTTTGAGAGCCGTGCTGGATGTGGCAAGAAAGATTGTCCCAGCCTTGATGATGTGGAGGGCTGAAGCAAGTAACATTAGAAGAGGAGATGAGTTAGGGACGTTGCGGATCAAGGGCGCCTTGAACCAGAGCACAGCCCTATCATTCCTGTGAGATCAAGCTGACTGCTTAAGCTACTGGGCATGAGCTAGATGGTCCCTAAGCTGCAAGCCCAGGGCCACACCTTGCTGGCTGTGTGGTCTGGGCAACTCAGTTCTCGTCTCTGTGCCTTAGATCCTCTGGACCTTGACTCCAGGGGTTTGAATTCTTGTTCCGCCACTTTGGGCAAGTCATCTACCTTCTCTCTGCTTCACCTTCCCGTGTGTGAAAGGGAATAATAACGCCACCATCCTTAAGGGTCAAAGATTAAACTAGTGAATCATGCAAAGTGCTGTGACACAGAAGCAATGCTGAATACAGGCTGATATTAGCATTCCTTCTAATCACTTAGCCTGCATTCCTGGCGGGAGCAAAAACCTAGCACACATCCTGCTGATATCTGTTGAATGGATGGTTGATGAACGAATGAGTGAGTGGTCTTGGCTGGCCAGGTCTCTCCAGGGCCCCACTGACCAACTTGTCCCTGGCACAGCCTGCGAGCGCAAGAATGCAGAGGCAGTGAGGCTTCTGGTGCAGCACCATGCAGACACCAACCACCGCTGCAATAGAGGCTGGACAGCGCTGCACGAGTCCGTCTCACGCAATGATGTGGAGGCCATGGAGATCCTGGTGAGCGGCGGGGCCAAGGTGGAGTCCAAGAATGCCTATGGCATCACGCCCTTGTTTGTGGCCGCTCAGAGTGGGCAGCTGGAGGCCCTCAGGTTCCTGGCGAAGCATGGTGAGTGATGAAGGGTTCCTGGGTTGTGAAGTTCCCAGGGGCACAGCTGAAAGTGCAGGCATCATCGTGTGGGTGTGCTCTGGTCCAGGGACCGTGTCTATGGCAGTGGCATATTGAGAAGGATGCTGAGCCGAAGTCCAATATCCCTATTTTGCAAATGAGGAAGAGACCCAGAAAAGGGAAGCAACTTATCTACAGTCTCATGGCAAAATTATTTGCAGAAATAGCCAGATTCTTGGACTCCTGGAGCCCCTCCCACTTCTCTTTCCTCCATGTCACACTTAAAGGCTAGAAAGGACTCTCACCACATTTAGAGCACTTTTGTTTTGCAGGTGATGAGACCAAAGACCAGGATGGGAAAGTGACTTGTCTGAGTTCACACAGCAAAGTAGAAGCCGAGCTGGGATTTGAATCCAAGCCTTTGCCCTCTTTGCGTGTGAAAAAAAATCTTCATGGAAGAAACTAAAGCAATATTTTCTGCATTATGATGTCCTAGTAGCAGAAAACCCTGAGGCTATCGCAGACCATCCTTTTGCTTCAGGAACATTGTGTTCTGATCTCCTCCAGACACACTTGGATGTCTTGTTCCTCTCCAGGGGAAGGAACCCTCCTTCTCCAGCAAGAGAGGCTAGAGGTCGTGCAGACCTTGGGCCCGACCTAGAGTGATTTGTAGAGGAGCAACATTGCGCTGAGCATGAACACACTTTAGGTGCCTGGTGTTTCCCCCAAAGCCACACGAGCTGGACAGTGTCCCTACCCCATTTCATCCCTGAGGACATGGAGGTTTGCAGTGCTTGAATGACAGGTCACAGTCAGAGCCTGGATTCTGACCCGTGTCCATCTGCCCCCAAGCTGCATGCTGCTTGCTCCGGGCCTGCATCCAGCCCAGCCCCACGCACTCAGCGCGTGCCTGAGCAGTTGGGAAGCAGACGCAAGGCGCTTCCCTGTAGCCCGGGACAATGCTAGAGCGACCGCACAAGAACAAAGGGACAAGGCTGGGCCCTGGGAGCCGAGGCCGGCAGGCTGAGCGAGGGCAGGGTGCTCAGCAGGTGAGGCCGAGCTTGCCAGCTCCAAACATCTGCCTGGAGCTCCTGCCGACACTGAGTCAGGGACTGTTCCCCTCGTGAGCTAGGCCATTTTTCAATACAAATATTTTCCTTGTGCGAGCAGGCAGCTTTACTGGTGGGGAGTGGGCCTCGCAGGGAGACTGATTTTGAGGTCTGACTGTGAGATGGAGCAGCCAGCTCACTGGCTTCTCCTTCATGGAGAGGGCAGATGCAGCCTCTGCCCGGGACCTTTCACCCTGTGTAGTTGCCTTTTGCTGAGCACCGTCTGTGTGCCCGGACTGTGCCGAGAGATTGCTCGCGCTGTCTTATTTACTCCTGAGAGGTAGTGACTACTATTCCTGGCCGACAGATGGCAAACTGAGGCTCCTAAAGGCTGCCTCAGGCCCCTGGGCTTGGCAACCAGGAAAGAGAAATTGCAGCTGGTTCATGGCTTTCACCAGACCCTGTGCTCTTTCCACCATAGCAGACGCGGGTACGCTGGCATTGAAAATAAAGTCACCAGGAAGCCTGAGATGGGCGGAAGTTCAGAGAGATGAGCTGTGGCCAGCAGAGGCCTCTGACCTCAGCCTTCACTGATATCAGTTCTGGCCCCTTCTGGGACTCAGAAGGACTGTGATCCTTTTTTCTTCTTCCTCCCCCGCCCCTCTGTCAGTACTAAAGCTCGAACCCAGGGTCTTCACACAGTGCTACATCCTTGGCCTTTTTGATATTTTTTAATATTAAGAGAAGGTTTCACCAATGAAGTCACCCAAGCTGGGCTCCAGTCTTCAACCCTCCTGCCTCGGCCTCCCAGGGCACTAGGATAACGGGCATGTAATCCACCACTCCTAGCTGACCCCTCGTTATTCAAAGAAGTCGAGTGTAAGGCAGTTCTCTCCTCACCCCTTGAGATGCAGGATGGAGAAGAGGTTGGGACAGAGGCAGATCGTCACTAGGCTTGATGCCTCTTCCTCCCAGCATGGCTCAGCGATTTCTTTGGAGGAGACGAGAAGTAATTTTCCTTTTATTTCTTGTGGAGAATAACAGATTTCAATTAGCAAACTTAGGCTTTCTTTTATGAGGTGCTCTGTGCTCTGCTGGGGCTGTGAGGTCTGTTTCAGGACAGAGGCTGGGTCCTCTTACACAGAGCTGAGCGTGGCTCCAGGCACAGCCCTTCTTCCTAGGGCTCCTCACAGGAGATCCTACAGATAGCACAGCAGTGTACAGCCCACGGCAGGCGCTGCATGATGGCAGGGACCACCCTGATCCCTTGTGGGCCTGCTTCTCCCTCACCAGGCGCTGACATCAACACGCAGGCCAGCGACAGCGCATCTGCCCTCTATGAGGCCTGCAAGAACGACCATGAGGAGGCGGTGGCATTCCTGCTGTCCCAGGGCGCAGATGCCAACAAGGCCAACAAGGACGGCTTGTTGCCACTGCACATCGCCTCCAAGAAGGGCAACTACAGGTCAGCAGGCAGCACCACCCCGCTGCACAGCTCGCTGGGGAAGCACGGGGAGCGGTGGGGGGGAAAGGTGGGGTGGGGAGGGCAGTGCGCCGGCTTTGACATCTGTCCCCAGGATTAGAGCAGCCCCAGAGTAGCTAGCATGGAGGGAGGGCACCTTCATGGGAAGGAGAAAGCCCTTTCAGCTGCTAGCGAGTGGGTAGCAAACGCCTGACACAGTCGCCACAATGAGAGCTCACACGTCTGCAGCTCTTACCAGCACTTTACATTATAAACTTAGCTAATATTCTCAACAGCCCAGTGAGGTGCATACTACTATTCTCTCCACTTTAAAGATAAGGAGGTTAAGAGAAGTCAAGTGATTTGCCCAAGGTCACACTGCACAGGGGAGCCAGAAACTCACTTGTTCTGAATGTGGCACCTATAGGAATTTCACCCAGAGTGCCAGATATGTATCTGAATTAGTGGATATTTCCAGGAGAATGCCAAGATGCCCTGCCAGGCCATTAGCAAGCGTACAGGCCATGCCTACTGCAACAGGAACGGTACTGGTGCTAAAGCTAGCGACCACTGAGCACTTCCTGTGTGCTGGGAACTAAGACCCAGCAGGGAGGCGCTTCGGTTCTCAAGCAGGCAACCTGGCAGGAGGAGGGAAGATGCCCAGCTGCGCACGCTCACAGGTGCACACGCACACCGCTGCCGTAATGAAAGCGCGTGCACAGCTAAGCTCTGCGGTGGCCCAGCAGAGAGAGGCTATTACGGGCCGGCAGCCGGCTTACTATGGAGCAGATCTCATGGAAGCCCACTGTGGGCCTTTCTTCCCAGTTCTATGTTCATTGAACTTGATCACTTAATACTGGCCGTGCTGGGAGTTTTCACAGCCCAGAAATTGGCAAATGCTACAAATCAGTTCCTGGGACCACTTCCCTCCACCCCACCCCACCTGAAAGCCTGCTGTTAGACATCTATAAGCAACACCATGGGTGGGGAAAGACTCTGGCTGGGGAACTCCAGCTGCCCTTGGAGGACGAATGGAGCGGGTTAATTTCAAGGTGCAGATCATCCGTTTCCCAGGCAGGCCTCGCCACTGTGCTGTGGGTCAGCTCGACTTTCATTCCCATTTTACAGTTCAGGAAACTAAGACCAGGTACTCAGGAGACTCGCTTCAGGGCGAGCCCCCCAAGACCAGGGCTTAGAGTCTAGTGATCGACTCTTCCCACTGGACCATCGCTTCCCAAACTGTGGCCCTTTCACAGCCTTTCTTCCTGATCTTAGAAAAACCCTCCTTACTTAGTAGTTTCCTTTAAATAAATTTTTACTTAAAATGAATACATTTTAAAATACATCACACTGGTGCGGTGTTAGAATGATCATTTTGCAATCAGTAAATAACTTTTCCACCTAAAATCCATCTCATGTGCCCTGGATGACACAGTGAGAAACACATTTATCTTCCAGGCAGGGAGAAGAAAAAGAGAGACTGGGGGATGTTTGCTCACTAAAGCAGAGGGAGAAATGGGGGACAGTGACATCACAGAGAAGGAAATGAAGGCCCAGGAGGCAGCACTGGCCCCTGGAGCCCCAGGCCACCCTGTAGGCCCAGCTTTCCTGGATTTCCCAAGAGAGGCTTAAGACTGCCTTTCTGGCAGCGTCTGCCTCCTGGTAGGGGCCATGGCCAGCCGGCCCTGGCTTCCCACTCAGGCCCACCGGGGCATGTGCATCAGAGCCCTCTCTGCGCTGACCTCCATAGGCTGCTAGGGGATTTGATGTGACGTCCCAGAGCAGTCCCCACTCAGCCGCCTGCCCAAACACCCTGCCTGCCCAGCGTCCCGGGTCTGCACTGCCGTGCCAGGCTGGGACTGTTTCCCAGAGGCGCCTGCTTTTCGGCACATTTAGTGGAGGGTGTGACATCCAGGCACAGCTGCGAGAAGAGCCCTAAGATGCCTATGTCTTAATCACCTCCAAAATAGGCTTTTTTTCTGGTTTTCACTTTTTGTTTAGCAAATGCACTTTGTGAAATTAAAGATCAGCATCAAAGATAAGTTCCTTAAGAAACTACGTGAATTAGACAAAACCAGGTGCCCAAAGACAGCCCCAAAAGTAGTGGTCCCCAGCCTTGGCACACAGGGAACCCCTGAATTGCAAGAACCCTGGTGCTTGTGCCCCCTGCAGGGGCGCTGGTGTAATTGGGCTGTAGCCTGGCTTCAGGGTTCTAGATGCTGCCCACTGATTTTAGGGGGAAGAACCAAGATCACAGCATCTCTTTTGTGGCCAGCAGAGAACACACACTTGCAGTTTAGGCCTCATTTCTGATCTTGCTCTTTTAAAACACCGTTTATTTCTCACGTACGCACGCACACACACACACACACACACACACAAACGCATGTGAGCGGCACAGCCTCCTGTGGGCGGCTACTTCCCACGTGAAAGTCAAGTTCGCCCACACCAAACTGGCCCTGAATGCTGACAAAGGTCAGGCTGCTGTGACCTGCAGGCCCAGAACTCCTGTGCTTGGTGCAGCAGGGACAGCACTGTCTTCACCGTGCGCACAGCGTACCGACAGCCTCTGGGTCGTGACTGCCTACTGTGGCCGATCGAGGTGTAGGATCCCATTTCATCTCCAAAGCAACCCCGGTGAAAGGGACTATGGAACTGTCCCCTGAGCATAGCAATCCCACCTTGCTGGACTGTTATGGACAATAAGCGAGCTAAAACACTTAGCTAAAGGAGGTAAATGTGAAAAACTTTAAGCAATGCCTGACACATAGTAAGTGCTCAATAATATAATCATTGTAGTCATTTGGGAAGGAGAAACGTTCATAGCCAGAAGGGCTCCATAAAACTTAACTATAGTTACTGTCATGATCATCATGAGCATTATCATCATCGTTATGCCTAAAGCACCCCTCTGTTGTAGGGTTCAGAGAGGTTAAGTGACAGGCCTCAGTTGGCCAGCATTGAGGCAGAGCTGGTTGTCTGCCCTGCGTCCAGATGACTCTGAGCCCCCCAGCTTCTTTGCTGCACACCCCAGACCCTCACATTGCTGAGGGCAGCCTGCTTCAGCCAGGAGCGCTCACCTACACCTGCTCCTGGGCTGGATTCGGGCAAACACTGCCACCGACAAGATTCCAAACCCTAATCTGCCCAGTCCCTGCTGACAGGGGACCTCAAGCCTCACGCGGGGCTCCAAGGAGGTGGCCCTGGCTGGGAAGCAGGTGCCAGGGAAGCCCGGGACAGGCAGCATGCGAGGACACAAGGAGGACAGGGCAGGGCAGCAGCCCAGGCATCTGGACTGAGGTCCCAGGTCAGAGATACCCAGCAGCTGTGGGGCCCGCGGAGCCGCAGTGCTGGCCTCGTGGGGACAGCCCGGAGCTGGGCAGAGCTGAGCGGGCAGGTGCAGCCCCGCACTGGGGAGGGAGGAAGCCAGGCCTCCCGACACCTTGGCGCTGGGGCTGTGGTTACCTTCTTCCTCTCCCTAGGTTCCTGTTTAATCAATAGCAATCAAACCCCTGCACCCACCTTTGGGAAAAGGGGAGTAACCCCAGCCTGATTCATGGGTCGCTTTCTTGCCTTCCTGCCTTCTGTCTCACAAACAGGGCTGGGGGAGAGGAGTGACAGCATGCCATAGGCCATGTGGCCACTCCTTATGTTTAGAAGTGAGGCACCGCAGAAAGGCACGGGCCTAGGCCTCCAGACACCTGCTGCCCACCCACCTTCTGTCCAATCTCACTGTCTTTCCCACTCCAAGCCTGGGCCTCAGTTTTACCCTCCATAAAATGGGAGGGTTGGACATACTGCTCCCTGGGTCTTGTCTAGCACTGTACATTTACTTTCTGCCAAGTTCTGCACCAGCCTAAGGCCATCGGAAGATTGGGACCCAGGGCTCTGTACTGTCAAGTTCCCACACTTCTGCCACTTTTCCTTAGTTCAGCAGGGGATAACCGGAGACCAGCTGCAACCTGCCAGAGATACCAGCCCCAGCGGGCGGGCGGCCCAGGGCAGCCCCCTCCCTGTCCTTTCCCGGGCTTGGGCATGTCACGGCTGTTACAGAGCATTTGTTGGCGATGGCCACCGTCCAGGGCAAGGCTCCCACCCTGCCTTTAACCAGCACCTCTGCAGAGCAAGGTCAGACCTCCAGAGCCTGCACAAATAGAAATTAGGAGGCAATTAGCCCCCCTGGGTGTGTGAATTTCCTTTTGAGGTTTTAGAGGCAGATTTTAGCCAAACACAGCGTCACCAACAATAATAATACTCTCCACTGAGATCCCAGCAGGAGGTTGCTGGCATTGGATTTCCAAGAAGGCCAGAGGAAGCAGGCATGCCAAGAGGCTGGAGGCGTGGGAACAGTCCCGAAGGCACCTGCTTCCCAGCCAGGGCCACTTCCTTGAGCCCCACATGAGGCTGTGAGGTCACCTGTCAGCAGAGACTGGACAGATTAGCGTTTGGAATCTTGTCAGTGGCAGGAGCTTGGGGGCCAGAGGTCTAGGCCAAGAGAGCCAAGATGAGGTGCATGACCTTCTCTTCCTCACCGCAACTCTGAAGCTCACCCAATAAAAGAAGGCCACGGGCTGGTGTGGCTTCCCCACAGGGCAGCAGGGAAGGTCAACTGGGGCAAGCAAGTCAATACAGCGGGGAGATGGCGGCGCCCCATGGCATCCCTCGTCACTGTGACTGCTACGCAAGAAGTAGGGCAGTGGTTAAGAATGTGGCCTCACAGGGTTCAGGTCCTGGCTCCATCACTTCTTGCTGTGTGTCCTTGGGAAGGTCACACACCGTCTCTGGTGTGTTTCCTCATCTGGAGGATGACAATAATATGAATACCATGTGAAAGAGCCAGTGGGAGGGCTTCATAGATTAATACAGGCAGTGTGCTGAGGACGGTCCCCGAGTCAGCAGAGACAGGAGCAGGGGTCACGGGGAGCTCCAGCCTCAGCAGTCAAAGGCATGCAGAGAGGCTGAGAGAGACGGAGTCCACCTTCATTAGGAGAGATCTTGAGTCTCATACGACAGGAAGCCTGGGTACATCGGGCTGCCTGGGGCCTGGGGCAGGAGAAGTTGGGGACAGGCATGTCCCCCAGTCCCCAGCAGCTTCACCAGGGTCCCAGGGCAGTAACACAGCTTAGCCTCCTCGAATCCTGGTTTACCTCTCCTGACTGTATGGCCCGAGAAAATCCTTTCACCTTGCTGAGACTTGATTTTTCTCATCTGCAGAATGGAGCCAGGAGACGTGGCGCTTTGAGGTTCTTTTAAAGATGGAACAAATTTCCTCTCCCAGGCAGGGGAAGGTCTAGCTCCACGGGTCACCGCTGGTCTCTGCTGCCTCCTGCAGGGAGTACCTTGCTTTGGGGGCCTCCCAGTCAATTCCCCAGACTGCTGCGCTGAGAATAGGCAACTTGCATAGCTTGAAACGTCAGCGGCAAGTTCTTGATGCCACAGTTCAGCTGGCTGAGGTTTTTAGGAGTTCAGACTCTGGAGGTCAAGGTTCTGGGTTTGCAGCCCAGCTACAGCCCTCACCGACCGTGTGACTGTCAGAATCTAGCTGGAGCTCTCTAAACCTCGGTTACCATATCTGTAAAGTGGGCCCAGCAGCTGGCCCACCCTCCCCAACGTGCTAACCGTGAGCACGGCGGTCCCTTGGCGCCCCCTGGTGGCGGAGTCACACCCTCACACCCTACCGTCCCGTGGCGACCTACTGGTGACCCGCGTTCCTCCCCCGCAGGATCGTGCAGATGCTGCTGCCGGTGACGAGCCGCACGCGCGTGCGCCGGAGCGGCATCAGCCCGCTGCACCTGGCTGCAGAGCGCAACCACGACGGGGTGCTGGAGGAGCTGCTGGGCGCGCGCTTCGACGTGAACGCGCCCCTGGCTCCGGAGCGCTCGCGCCTCTACGAGGACCGCCGCAGCTCAGCGCTCTACTTCGCCGTGATCAACAACAACGTGTACGCCACCGAGCTGCTGCTGCGGGCCGGCGCCGACCCCAACCGCGACCTCATCAACCCGCTGCTCGTGGCCATCCGCCACGGCTGCCTGCGCACCATGCAGCTGCTGCTGGACCACGGCGCCAACATCGACGCCTACATCGCCACGCACCCCACCACCTTCCCAGCCACCATCATGTTCTCCATGAAGTGCCTGTCGCTGCTCAAGTTCCTCCTGGACCTCGGCTGCGACGGCGAGCGCTGCTTCTCCTGCCTGTACGGCAACGGCCCGCACCCGCCCGCCCCGCAGCGCTCCAGCAGGTTCAGCGAGGCCTACACCGTGGACAAGGCGCCTGGCGTGGTCCAGGTGCGTGGTCCAGGGGCCCCACAGTGGGGCGCGCTGTGGGGGGTGGCCGAGCCGGTGTCCACCTGCTTGCTTTCCGGGCGGTATGGACCGGTGGCTGATGCGCCTTGGCGCGAGTGTGGACTGCAGTACTGCAGGGCGGTGGACTAGCTTTGGTAGCAGTGTGGGGTAGTGGGTAGTGCGCTTCAGAGGCAGTGTGGGTGAGCAGTTAGTGCGCTTTGGAGGGAGTAGTTAGCACAGTCTGGAGACCGTGCAGGCAGGTGGTGGTTAGCACCTTCAAACCCAGCAGAACAGCCTCCTCTCTGGAGGATGTAGTCCGAAATTTGGTTCAGCATTTTAGGAGTTCTGTAGAACTAACCTTGGAGCACAGGCTTGGCAGGAACTCAGCAGAACGGAAGGACTCCTCACTCCTAGCAAATGTGCACCTAGGATTCCGGGGCAGGACCCAGCCGGGGGCAGCCACGGCAGGCGGGCATGTGGTCAGGAGAGGTGCTGGAAGCCAGCGGCCCAGAGGCAGGCCTGTCCCTGGTGTTCCTGAAAGCGGGCACTTAGAATGAAAAGGAAGCTGGAAAGGACACTGCCATGGATGTCGGGCAACAACCATGGGCTGCCTGCTGTGTGCAGAGAGGTCCACAGTCCTACTTCTCAAATTCTCATTTGAAGAATCCCCTTGAAATGGGTGACATAGACTTTTTTTTTTGGTTTTGTTTTTTTTTCCGGTACCGGGAACCGAACTCACGACCTTGCGCTTGCCAGGCAGGCGCTTTGCCGCTGAGCTAAATCCCCAGCCCCGACATAGACTTTTTATTTCTGTTTTTAAATTTTATTTATTTATTCAGTACTGAGGATTGAACACAGGCTCTTCACACTGAGCTGTACCCTTGGCCCTTTTTTTATTTTCTATTTTGAGATAGGGCCTTGCTAAGTTGCCCAGATTGAGCTTGAGCTTGCAACCCTACTGCCTCAGCCTCCCCAAATGTTGGGATGACAGGCATGTACCACTCCACCTAGCTCATGTACCCATTTTCTGTACAAGGAAGTTGAGGCTCAGAGATGATGTGACTTTCCTTAGAGGCCCATCTTTTCCGGTGTGGCCCTGAATTGAGAAGGGGCTTTGTTGGGGCATGGTTTGTAGAAGCCCAGGGAGGCCGGGTGTCTGTCTTCCACACACCTGGGCCGCACCTGAAGGATGACCATTCCCTTTCAGTTCTGCGAGATCCTGTCAGCCCCTGAGGTGAGCCGCTGGGCAGGGCCCATCATTGACGTGCTTCTGGACTACGTGGGCAATGTACAGCTCTGCTCAAGGCTGAAGGAGCACATCGACAGCTTCGAGGACTGGGCAGTGATCAAAGAGAAAGCAGGTAAGGCCACCGCTGCCACTGCTAGCTTGCAGAGGGCCTCAGGCCTCTGAAACGCCATGTGACGAGCCTGCCAGCGCCAGGCCCGTGCTGTACTGCCGCAGACGAAGAGTCAGTGCCTTCTGAGCCACCAAGGCTCCTGGGTCAGAGTTCTTCGGCGAGGCAGTGGCAGAGCTGGGATTCCACCCAGTGTGACCCGCTCCATCCAAGCAGCCCTGGCTCCCTGAGGGAGGCGGTGGTGCCTGAGGCCTCATTTGGGGCCTGACAGAGGCGGCGTGGCTGGTAGAGAGGACGGCGCCATAGGTCACGGAGAGCGCACATGTACGCCCACGTGGGCCTCTTACCCAGACAGCTTCCAGCCCAGAGGCCTGGGGCAGGCCTGAGAGTCTGCGTCCTGCCGACACCAGTGGGGCCAACGGCACTGGCCTGCAGGCCGCCTGTGGAGCAGCTCTGGTCCAGGAGGCAGACGGGCCCTGCTCTGCAGACCCGACCCGCAGAAGAAGGGCTTGGCAGGCCCAGCACCCAGCCCTTTCCAGCTGTGGAAGGCGTGGGTGTGTGAATGGGGGCGCCAGGCCCCTGTCCTGTGATGAGACTGCTGCGTCACCCTCCACGGCCCAATTCCCACTCACTGAGTTCCTCCTCGATCTCCAGACCCACCATAGGGCTTTTTCACTGGCTCAGCTGTCTGAAAAGCAGCTGAGCTGACGTCTTTGATAAAATTAGCAAGACAAGGACGGGAAGGGAGGCTCCGACTTGCCCACTTGGGTGCAGCTCCCAACGCGAGAGAAAGTTCATTGGCTGTTGAGGAACGGGCTGCGGGCACTACCATCCTTGGCCACTAGAGGGAGGAGTGGTCGCGCCTAGATATGGGCACCTGGGGTCCTGTCCCCTCCTCCTGCCTCCCTCGGAGGTTCCAGGGGAACAGTGCAGAGAGCGCCGTGTGCTGGAAACGTGTCTGAACAGGGGAAGCAGATGGTTCTGAACCAGTGCCCATCTCGGTGACTTTACAGCCCCTTCTGCCTGCGAAACTCGCCTTTGCATGTGATGCTTGGGTGTCGCCATGATTTCTCTGGGAAGAAAGCCGACCTAGACCCTGGGAGGCGGCACGCAGTGCCCGTCAGGGCACCAGCCCAGCCCTCACGGCTCCCTGTCCTGTGCCCCCGGGGCCTTTTGCTTCCCTCCCCACAGGAAAGGTGCTGCCTTCTCAGGGGGGACACTGTCCCAAGTGACATCTGAGGAGGGTAGTGGGTGCATCAGAAACACCACAAAGGGGCCCGGACCCCAGCTGGCCAGTGCTCAGCCACAGATCTCTCCACGCCCTTTGTCACCCGGTCTCACTGAGGCTGCAGTGGCCCCGGGGCTCGTCACGTGCTGTCTTCCCTACTTGGGATGCCCTTGCCTCCCTTCCTCACCTGAGCAAATTCCTGCCTGCCCCTTGGAACCCAGCACGGAAGGCACCATCGGTGTGCAGCTTTCCCCGCTGACCTGGGCAGGAACCCCTGCACCAGCAGTCCTCACACAGGCTTGGGCAGGCTGAGAAGCCAGCATGTGCTTGTTGAATGAATGAATGAATGAATGGCATTCTTTGATCCAACAAACATCCTCCCTGTGCACAAATAAATTACCCACTACACAATACATCATTTCCTGCTCCTGCCTCTCCCACCCCCACCTTCCAGCTGGAAAACCCATACTGTACAAGGCCTTCCAGGGGACCGTGACGTTGCAGCTGGGTAGGGCTTGGGGGTCCTGCTCCTCTCCCCTGGCCTCTCAGCACCAGCAGGAGCCCAGCGTAGAATTCCATGTATGAAACTCCCAACTCCTTTACTGAGGCTGTTTCATGGCCCAGGCTTCTGTGAAGAGCAAGTCATACAAGATGGGTGGGATGTGAGCCTTGGTCCTGGGAACTTCCAGCCAAGACCAGGGATTTCACTAACCTCAGGTTTCATGCCTGCCAAGTGGGTGTGGCACCTACCCTGTCTCCTCCTGGGGTAGTGTAGATGAATGTTGGGACAGTGGGAAGTTCCCTTCTAGTCTCTTCAGCTGCAGGGACTGGGGTTACCCGTGACAGGCACCCCTCTTGTACCCAGCCACACCCACTGGGCGCCCACCATAGGCTGAGGTCACAGGCGCACAGCTTTTGTCGGGTGCAAATGGCAATCAGCATCTGTCTTTCTCTCATTTTTCCAGAACTTCCAAGACCTCTGGCTCACCTTTGCCGGCTGAGGATTCGAAAAGCCATTGGGAAATATCGTCTAAAACTCTTGGACACACTGCCACTCCCAGGCAGGCTGATTAGGTACCTGAAATATGAGAACACCCAGTAGCAGGTGACGGGAGGAAGGAGTGGCCCCTCCGCTCTTTCCACGGCAGGATGGCAGCATTCCCGTCCCAGGGCACTGGGGACAGGCCACCTCCCCGCAGCTGGGCCAGCGGCTGAGATCGTGCTGGGTCTGCACTCTGCTGAGCATGGAGAGCACAATGTGTCCAGTAGGAGAAGAATCGTGTGTTTTCGAACCGTTGAGTTGATCCCAGACTGAATGGCAGACACCTCTGTCCAGGGTGGAACTCGAGGATCTGGAAAAGGGACATGGAGGGTCCTCAGCCTCCGCCTGAGTTGTGGCTGGAGCCCTTCTAGGAACGAGTTTGCCTTTCCAGGAGGACCTCGCTTCAGAGCATTCCCTGCACCTGTCCCCTACTCTGTGAAACTCTCCACTTGACCTCAGCCAGGGAGGGCCCCTTGTGCTGGGGGCTCCCCTGTGTACAATAAATGTTGCACACGTGAGGCCCTGTGCAGCCACGTCCTTCTCGTCAGACTTCAAGGCCTGAGGTCCTCGGCTTTGCTCCTGGCAGACAGATGACAGAGCTGAGCAGGGGGTGCACAAGACATGTAGACCCCTGAATCTGGCATCTGTGGTGGGTGTGTTAGGCAGTTTTCTGTTGCTGGGACAAAATACATGAGATAAATAGCTTAAAGGAAGGAAAATTAATTTGGGCTCATAGTTGCAAAGATTTCTGTCCATGGCCCTGTTGCTTTGGGCTTGTGGTGGGCAGTGGATGGCAGGGCAAAGATGCCCACTTCATAGTGGCTAGGAAGCAAAGAGAGACAGACAGAGACAGAGACGAGTGACAGTGACAGAGGCCAGTGTCCCAGTACCACCTGCACAGGATGCGTCCTACGACCTACTGTCATCCGGGTCTCACCTCCTAAAGTTCCCATCATCCCCCAGCAGGACCACAGCTAGGTACCAAGCCTTCAGTACCTGAGGTTTTGGGAGACATTTATGATCCAAACGATGGCATTGTGCTTCGGAAAGAACTTCCGAGAGGGTCCTTCCTTGACCAGGAGACGCCTGACTACCCAGCTGCTTTTCCTTCCTGGTTAGATCACCATGGAAACAGGGACTTCGTGACAAGGAAGGTGTCTGTGCCCGCAAGTCTCCTGACACCTGGGGTTACCTACACACTAATTTCCCAGCACTCCTGCTCACCCCTGTTCTGCTGCAAAATTTAAATATTGTTGGGGGGAAAAGTTAGCCCCAGCTGCTGCGAGAAACGGTGCTGGAGGGAGGTCCGTGGTCAGCTCTTGCAAAGGTTCGAAACCCTGACCCGAGGCGTTCTGCGGGATGAGCCAGGCAGGAGCAGCATCTCATTTCCAGGTGGGGCGGTGAGAAGTGATGTTCACCGCTGTCACAGCGTTTGCTTGCAGGTCTCTGGGTCCCTGGCCTGAGACCTAGCACACCCTGTTTTCATGAGAGTTGCAGTGATTTATCAGTGTTCACTTTGCATGTGTAGTTAAAGCCATTGCACCCTGAGCCACTCTGTAGCCACACCAGAGCAGGCCACCTTGCTCAGATCCTGCACCTGGACCAGTGCAAAAATCTGGTAGGGTCTTCAGCAAGGTTAAGGGTAGTTTCTAACCTTCAGAATATAAGCAGCTGGGCCAGTGGGGGAGCGCTGACTCCAGGCCAGGGTGCATTGGGTTCTTTGGGTGCTGATGAGATACATCTACCAATGGCTCATGGCATAGGGGGGCCGCCTCCAATGTGCCCTTCACAGCTGTGACGTTCTTAGGTCCCTGCCCTACCTCCCCATGATGCAACAGCTAAACTTGGCCCAGGGCCTGCCCCAGTGGATCAGTCCTGGTTGGTCAATGCTCCAGTGCTGCCTGTGGTCCATATTAAGGGGAATGACAGCCATCACCCTCTACAGGGACTGCCACCTCCCACTGCCCAATGATCCAGCCCAACGAGGTCTCCAGCCTCAGAGGGCCGCACAGCGTGGCAGAACACTTGCCACCCAGGAAGGCTGGCAATGATTCCGTTTCATGCAGGAAGCAGGCCTGGCTTGGGATGGAATTGGAGACTGAGCGAGTGGGAGGCCCTGGCTGCCCTTGTTTTTTACTTTGAACCATACCAGCTCACTTTCTGGTGAACTATGTACCTGCTGCTACTACTGGGCTGTTTTCTTTTTTTTTTGGTACCAGAAATCGAACTCAGGACCTTGCCCTTGCTGGGCAAGCACTGTGCCGCTGAGCTATATGCCCGGCCCTGGGCTGTTTTCTGTTTGTCTGTCTCTTTGTTTTTTATACCAAAGCTTTCCTAGGCATGTGGGGATGTTTTTCCAATGGTTTCCACACTGGGGAACCAGTGCCAGGGGCTTGTGTAGGGTACAGTCTTAGGGTTTCTGCTTTGAAGAGAAGCCTCCCAACTTTGCAGCAAATGGAACTGTGGTTGTCCTTTGGGGAAGCTGAACCTCAGCAGGGACAAGCTGGTGTCAGAAGTCCAGCAGGGCTGGGCTCAGGCAGCCACTCAGGAAGACACGCCTATTGAAGTTGAGTTCTTCAGGGAGTGTGATTGGTTGGATGGTCCAGGATCCCCATCACCGTGAGCGGCACATTTATAAACATTTAAACCATCAGCATGGGCCTATGGGCACCACCACAAAACCATGGAGGAGGGGCGACTCCGGCTGGCGCCACTTGGGAGCATGTGTGTGGTGCAGGGTACCAGGCATGCGTACCCACCTCAACAGCTCCTGCATCAGGTCTGTGACTGGCCACATTTTATGGATAAAAAAATTGTGGCACAGAAAGTTTAAATAATTTGCTCAAGATCGTACAACTGGTTGGATAAGGCCAGCAAGCAGGTTTGCTGACAGCTTGGAGGTTAAAAGGCTGGTTTTGGAGGGCCTGCATGATGAGACACAGGAGGGTAAAGGGGAGTGCAGGCTTCATCCAGCCCCCTTAGCACTCTGTAAGACCAAGAGGTCCGTGGTGGGCAGTGCAGGGTGAGGATCTCGCCCCTCCCGTGTGCAGACAGTTACTCAGAACAGTTCTGACTGTGCCACACCAGCCTCTGTGGCTCTGAAGTCTTCTGATGCCATGGGATTTAATTCACCAGAAGCCCATCTGCTTCCCATGAGCGAGCTGCTGCTCTAGGGGACTCCCTCCTCCAGGGGCATCTAGGAAGAAAACAGCAGGACAGAGGGGCCCTGGGCAGCTAGCTGCTCATCTTTGACCTTCTATTGACAGGAAAGATCCAAAGGAGAGATCCTGGGGTGCAGAAGAGGTTGGTGCACTGGACCTTAGCCCTCTACAGATGAGGCGAGACAGCCCAGAGCAGGGACTAGCTTATCCAGCATCCTGCAGCTGGTTGAGGCACAGGGTCTCCAGCCAGGCTGGCCCCTGCACCAAGCTGAGATGTGAGGACTGTTCTGATCAACTGAATAGCTCTGCACCCCACGGGCCCAGCCTCTGTCTGCAGAGCGACCTGGGACATGGAGCAGGGGAGGCCCTCGCAGCGGCTTTGCCAGTCTGGCCCACTCAGGGAAAAGCTCAGGGCAGCTCCCTGCCCCTGGCGCCCCCCGCTCTGTGCTCTGTCCCAGGCAGAAGCCTCACCATCCCATCCACAGGTGCTGGAATATTCCCAGGCCTGGGAACCTCCATCATGAAACCAGGGATCTAATGTAGCTTTGGTGCTTTGGTGTTTTTGTGTTTTGGTTCCTGTGGGGTTTTTTGTTTTGTTTTTTTATCTGTGGACACAGAAATAAAGACTGTGCTTAAAAGAGGGATGGGCCGGATGTGAAGATACACACCTGTGGCCCCAGCACTCTGGGAGACTAAGGCAAGAAGATCAAAAGTTCAAGCTCAACCAGGACACCTTAGTGACTTAGTGAGAGCTTTCTTCAAAATAAAAAAAGTTTTAGAAAGGGCTAGGGGTGTAGCTCAGTGCAAAGGCCCTGGGTCCAATTTCCAGAGCCATTAAAAAAAAAAAAAAATTGGACAAAACCCCAAACTACCCATTTTGTCCACAAGGGATTGAACTCCTGGCTGGCCTAATTTTCCCTCTGACCAGGTTTGGGAAGGGCTTCCTTGCTGAGACACACAGCAGAGCCAGACCTATAGCTCCACCTTCCGTAGATCCGGAGTAGCTCAGGTCCTCCAGCACTGGGACTGCCCAGCCTGTCTTCTTTGTTTGTTTGTTTGTTTTTGTTTTTTCCCGGTACCGGGAATCAAACTCACGACCTTGCACTTGCCGGGCAGGCGCTGTGCCGCTGAGCTAAATCCCCTGCCCCTCCGGCCTCTGTCTTCTGACACATGTGTGAGGAAGTCCTTCCCTGCCCACCCACCTTTCTTTGAACAGAGCCTGGCCCCAGACGTCACCCAGACGTCTCCAGCTACTCTTGGCTTCCCCACTAAGCAGCCTTCATCCTGGGCACGGCCAGGACTTCATGGGCCTGGGGACCGTTTCACTGCATGACACCCGAGATGTGGAAACTGCAAAAAGAAATGTCTTTATTCTATCAACCTTCTTAATATTTACAAAGAACAAAAAGAACAACAACTGAAATTGGCTTAAACAGTGGGTGTGTACGTGACATTTGGGTGGCTGGTGGGCCGGGCCAGGTCCCACTGCCCGCGGTCTGCACAGGGACAGGGAAGGGTCTGCTGGACTCCAGCCAGGCTGCAGTGAAGCCGGCTGAGCCCAGCCCCAAGGCTGCAGGGGCTGAGCTGGTGACTGCCTGAGAAGCCCCCGCCCCAAGACTGCCCTCAGAACGCACAAAGGGAAGGGGCATTTGGAATGCCCAGGCCATGCCTCTGCACAGCCCCCTCCTCCCAAAGACAGCTCCTTGGGTCCCCGATGTCCTGCAGGCTGGAGGAGGCGGCCCAGGCCCTGCAGCCTAGCTAGAGGTAGCCAAAGACATTGAAAATGGGTGGGGGAACAGTCGGCTTGGTGGGGATGGGCTTCAGAACAACAGGTCTGTACACCTTCTGCCCTGGGCCATCCACGTGCTCGCAGAAGTGGGCCAGCTCTGCAGGCAAAGCCGGGCTTTTCCTCCACAGGCCCAGGCCCGGGATGGGGCTTGCAGGCAGGGCCCCTGGAGGACCAGGGTAGATGGGCTGTCCATGGTACTGGAAGGGGCAGCAGCTCCAAGCATCAACACTGCCCACCAAAGAGACCCCGGGCATCTTGAGTGGCTCCTTGTCAACCAGTGCCCTTGGGGACATGGGCCCTGGGGCGGCCTCAGGCACCACAGACTCCAAGCCCTTGCAATTCTTTTTACTCTCGTAGGGAGGTCCCTCCCTGATGACCGGTAGCCCCTCCAGCCCCATGGGGTAGCTGTGGGTGGGCCTCGGCTCTTCCCAGAAGGAAGCAGGCAGCTGTCTTTTCCTCATGGGCACCTGGCCAGGCTTGGCAGCTTCTGGGCCCTGCTCCTTGGAAAGACATTCCTCCCCGAAGGGACTCCCCAGAGCCTTCTCCTTGCAGCCCCCACCCCCGCCAGGGCTGGGATCGGGGCCACAAGGGACTGAGGGATGGAGGGGCAGCTGCCCGGGGTGGTCTTCAGGCCCCCTTCTCAGGTGAGGCTCGGCAGCCCTGCCAGGAAGGCCCCGCGGGAGCCGGGAGTACTTCTGCGAGAAGCGTTTGAGCTGCTTCTGCAGGTACTTGCGGTGGTCCACAGAGCGGCGGCAGGGCGCGGACTTGTCCAGGGCTGCCTTGATGTCACTGGAGGCCAGGTTCACAAAATTCAGCAGCATCTTCACATCACTGTCGGATGCCATCACCAGGGGGCCACTGCATGGGGCTTTCCATGAAGAGGGTGCGCTCTTCGGGGGGCAGGCAACTCCGAGGAGAGTGCGGGGCTGACCTGGGGGACAGGATAGGCCGCTGGAGTCTCTTCGAGCAGCCACACCCACCCCTCTCCCCCAAAGGCCACCCAGCCTGGATGCAGACGGTGCCCCCCACCCACCACCCCTCAGCCTGGAACGGAGCCCTGGGTGATGGGACGCCCGCTTAAGGCAGAAGGGTCCCTGAGCACCTGTGATGCCGCGGGAGCCAACAGCCCCATGAGCCTTCCGGGGTGCTGCCCTCTTCTTGCAGCTAAGGCTTAGAGAGGTCAAGCAAGCTGACCCAAGGCGACCCAGCTACAAGTGGCACCAACGGGCTGCGCTCCCGGCCGCCACATCTCCCACACGCCAAAGCGCACCACTTGCCAGCAAGGTCTTTTTCTTTTCTGAGCGGAGACAACTGCTCCACTTTGCAGAAGGCCAAGCCCCTTTCCTGCCCGGTGGTGGCCGCCCCCTCCCACCACCCCGCCCCCCTCCTCGGCCCCACGCTCCACCCCCAACTCTCACGCAGGACCAGGCAGGACCCCTGTCTAGCACTTAATCGAGACCTGCCTCGCGGCTGCTTTCAGGCTGTGGGCAGCAGGGACTCCCTGGTAGAAGCATCTGCAGCAATTTCATGCCTCCTGGGCCACCACCCACAGCACTATGCCCCTCCCCCAGGCCCCAGCCTGCTCCTCGCCCCTCACCCAGGCAGCCCGCAGCCGGGCCTCCACACTGACCGGAGGTGCGGGCCGGGCCCGCCGCCGACAGACGTGGCCGGCAGGTTCCCCACCGCAGACCTAGGCAGGCCCGACCGTCCGATCTCCGCGCCGCCGAGGGAGCGCGGGGCAGCCCTTGAGTGGGCTGAATGGAGGACAACTCCCAGGGCTGGGGGGCCCTTAGGCCAATCAGGAGCGCCTCTCCAGATACAAAGCATCCCAATCAGGCGGCGGCGCCCCGTTCCCACATTCTTTGCCGTCACAAATTGTCACCATGGGGACCATCACAAAAAAGACAGCTCCCAAATGCAATCATTTCCCGGTAAATTTCTACCCTCAGCCCCACTCTCTTCGGCCTCCAGGCCCCTCCTCCCCTTGACCTCGGTTCCCTGGTTTCTCGAGGGGGTTGTGTGTGTGTGTGTGTGTGTGTGTGTGTGCGTGCGCATCCAGGAGTGTAGAATGTCCAAGACTGAGGAGGGGCTGGGCCCGGTGGAAACGGGCTTGCAAACCTCCCCGAAAGACTCCAGGCCTACAGCTGCCATGCTCCAGTGCAGACAGACAATCGGACGGGTAAGCTGGGGCGGGTTGCTTTCCCCGCTGTCCTTGAGCCTTGAGTGGCTCTCTCGGTCTCTCGTCCCTGTGTCTGGCTTTGTCTCTCTTTCCCCCTGTCCACCACTCTTGCTCCAGGACCCCCAGGAATGGGGTGCGGGAGGGCCGGTGAGGTTGGGGAGGTGCACTGATGTGGCGAAAGGTAGCCAGGAAGGACTCGCTAACGGGGTGCTGGCATATCCATGGGAAGGGAGCCGGAGCTCTCAGGAATCTTGTCTTTATGTTTGCTTCCTCAATTGAGCTGCACAAAGCCTGAATTGCCCATTCAGCGCGGCCGGACAAAAGGTTGGCGTTGCACGGCCCCTTGCATTTGTAATCAAACAGTTAGGGACTTAAATCGAGTCGTCATGATGAAGAAAGAGGTGGACAAAGCCCATAGAATTGCCATCAGCAAACATTTTCCTGTGTCATATTAGCCAGTCTCCATGGCTCCCCCTGGCCTGCGGACAATGGCACAAGTTTGCACACTTGGCTACTGTCACCGTGCCAACGCCGGCGTGGCTGCAAGCAGGGCCACTCACTCCGAGCAGGCGAGGGAGCCCAGAGCCGGCGCTGGCCCTGCCCACCACTGGCTGGAGGGAAGGTGAGGCCAGCGACGGTGAGGGAGGTGCCTGCGAAACGCTCATGGGCGAGGCCTCCGTGCCAGCCAGAGAGGCGGATCCTCTCCCGTCCCTCGACTTTTCCCTTGGCTCTCCCTCCTCCCATTCCTCCTTTCCGCCTTCCTTCCACCGCCTTCGTCTGCGCCCCTCCACTGGCCAAGGGGCTGGTATTCCAGCTTCCACTCTCCCACCCCATAGCAGGACCTAAACACCAAGGACTCCTCCCTGAGGTCCCCTCCCCAGACTCGGGGGCACTGGCGCAAGATGCACCCACTCCCACTGGCCAGGACACAGCTGCTGTGGGGATGAGGCACTTGCCCAAGGTGGCCTGACCCCAAGCCACCTCCCATCTGGCCCGTGGGTCCCTCCTTTGGAGAAGATGACCCAGGGCTGATGAGCAGCGAGCGACCCTCTACACCCCACCCCTGCTGCTGTGGGGTGCACATGCACAAGCCGAGGCGTAGGGGTACTGGACCGGAGTGTCCAGGATGGAGAGCTGTCACATGCGCTGACAGTCACCCTCACTGCAGCAGCCTTGGAGAAGTGGAGAGCTGGGCTCCAGAGACCTGGAGGTTTCTGCGGCACAGCTCAGCCCACATGTCTGGGACAGGCAGGCAACGTCATTTCCGCTCCAAGCTGCCCAGCACACTCTCCTGGAGAGATCACTGTCCTGACGTCCTCTGGTCAGCAGGTTAGGCTCCCCTCACAACTCCCTGCTGACCAAGGCATGGGACCAGTGTGAGCAGCCTGGGGCTCACACATCCTGGAACCCAGCACTCACTTCTCAGCTGCCTGCTCCATCGAGCTCGGCTGGGAGCTGACTTCAGTAGGCCCGGCCGCACCCGGCCCAGCCTTCCGCACCCTGCCTGGGTCACGCCGGACCCTCTCTCTGAACACCTTCCTTCCTAGAGCATTGAGACATTCTCCAGCCTCACTACCAGACCTGTTTCCTGCCAGACCCTGCACCTGCAGTCCACTCGGCCTTCTTGGGGTGCCAGCTCCTTATTTCTCAGCCAACAGCAGTCCATACCCTGGGTCAGGGGAACTCCTGGGAGTCAAGTGTGGCCTTAGGAAGTTTCTCCAGAGCTCTTAGTGCACACTCTTCTTCCTCCAAACACTTTTTGAGGAAAGGAAGAAAAGAGAAGAAAGAGGAATGGAACTGTTGCAAACTGCTGGGGACCTACTATGTGCCACAAGCCACATCCAAAGACTTCCTGTAGAAAGTCTCACCTGACCTAGGACAGGTGTCTTTGTGGCCATCTACTTTCCCAAGGCCTTACAGCTTACAGCTGGCAGAACTCGAAGCCAGCTCTATATGCAAAGTCGACCCCACACATGGCTTCCTGAAGTTCCTCTTGAGGGCCAGGCACTGCCCAAGCCCACTGACTTGAAGGCCTCAGGGGCCAGGTTTTCTACCCAAGCTCTGTGTTCAGGTCTTCCATGTTGATGGTAGCACATGGCTCTCAGCTTCCGGCTCAAGGCCCTGGAGCCTGGGCTTGGGGCCATCAGGAGAGGAATGGCTGGAGGAACGGCGGCCTGAGAACCTGGCCCAAGGGGGCCAGCTCTTCATAGACGGAGCTCCTCTGGAGTTTCTGATGGGCTGCACAGACAGGCGGAAAGAGCCATCTGCCCTGGATGGTCCTTCTCTTCCACGGCCCTTCTCTCACTCTGGTCCTGGGTCTCGGCAGAGAGGAAGTCATTTTCCCTACTTTCTGTTAGTGACATACTCAGACAAGTGTCAAACCTCTTCACTTTTGGGTGCATCTCGGCCAACCCCGTGCCTTTGGGCTTCGTCAACACGCAGCACATACATCTCCTCCAGGAAGCCTCCTGCCAACTCCCAGAAAACTCACGACACCCTCTCTCATCCCTGTGTCCATAGCCTCCAAGATGAAGTCTAATCTCCTTAGCTAAGCACAGAAGGACCTTTGTAATCTGACCCCCTACCAGCGCCTGGCACAGAGCAACTTCTTACTCAATGTCTCGTGCGTTAAATACGTTACCCATGCCACTGAATAGCATTTATCCAGTGCACCGAAAGCAGCTGCTCCCTGTATTGTTCTGTTATAGTTTTTCCTGGTCTGCGCAGGTGAGCTCCAGAAGAGTGGGGAGATTGGCTCTTGGCTGGTCCGTGACTCCAGGGACTGGGATGTCCCAGGCACTGAGCGGGGCCGGTGAGGGGCGCTCGTGGCTTCTGCGACGTGCTCAGTGACAGATTCTCTGCAATTCTTAAGGGCCATGGATCATTTAAAATCTAGGAGGACGTTTCCTGTTCACATCATGCCTTGGTTCTGGAGAGTTCTGCAAAAGCTAGTGAGCTAAGCTGACTCAAGCCAAAGAACTCAAAGAGCTGGGGTGGCAATCTCTCCCTCCCTGACCAGGGTCACTGCAGAGCACCCTTGATTTTGGCTCCATGCTCCTCTGATCCCAGATCCTGGGAGTGAGAGGTTCTGCTTGACCCAGGAACCAAAGACAGAGGACATATTAAGTCATTTGCCCTACCTGGGTGCCAGGCTTATGCTCTTAATAAAGATTTAAACAGAGGTACAGTCCTGCTAAGAAACTTGCCTGTGGTCCCACAGTTAGGAGATGGCAGAGCTGGGATCGGATCCTGGCAGCGAGATCTGAGCCCTCAGCTGTGATCATTGCAGGCTGCTGTCCTCTGACAACTGTCAACCAAAGCGCTGCCCTGCCCGCCTCCCCAGGCTCTGCTATGCCAGTGCCACGGGCACACTCCTCCATCAAGGCCAGCCTGACTCAGGGAGGCCATGCCGGCTACATGGGGACACAGTGACCTGGCAGTGTCTCTAGGGACGTGGGACGCAGACGTGACAAGATGACTTATGTAACCCACTTACACAGCGGCAGTTCTGGTCCAAGCCCGGCCTGAGGCATGCTGTCAGCCACAATCAGAGCAGACACTGGGATGGGAGGTATCCGGGGGAAGAGAGCCCCTCCGGCCACTGGAACCAAACCTCTCCACCGAGGCTGTGCCCATGAGCAGCCAGAGACCTCATGAGGCCCTGCACAAGTCACAGCCTGGTGCAGCCTGCACCCATGGTTGCGGCCAACCGCAGGAACAGAAGCAGCTGTTTGTGTGAAAGGGATTCCAGGTGTATCATTACAACACTGACCAAAGCTGGCTTTGGTGAAAAAATTCTTCACCTATGCTCCTGCCTTGGCTGTATGATCTTGGGCCAGTCACTCACCCTCTCTGGGCCTCAGTTTCCTGCTAGATGTCATTAGCAGTTGTTAGCCTTCATGCTGCACACATGCAGGTTTATGTAGGGCAGGTGTGTCACAAGTCCCTATAACTTACAAAGGTCCCAAACTTGGAAATGATTTGATTTCTCTTAATATAACTTAGGGCAGGGTCAACATCATGAAATCAGGTAACCCTATTTGCAGTCCTTGTATATGACAAGAGGTAGAGCTGAGGTGGCTGAGGTACAAGGCTCTGGGACAGAGAACAGCCTGCCAACCTTCATTCATCCTGTGGGTCTCAGGAGGAGCGGGCTACTGGGATTCTGCTGTGGAGAAAGAGTGCCGAGAGCAGAGCTCCTAGTCTTGTTTTCAATCTCGGGGGAGGCACCGGGCCCCTCATGGGTGAGATGCGAGCGGTGGGTTTTCACACACGCTGTTGATCATGCTGCAGGTGCTCCTCCTCTCTCTTCTTAATTTGCTACAAGTTTCTGACATCAATGGAGATTGAATGCTGTTGAATGACTATTCTGCACCAGTTGGTTTTTCTTGATTAATCTATTTAAATGTCATGTAACCAGATACATGTGACATCATACAATTTACTGCTTTAGCCATTGCAAGTATGTAGCTCAGCAGCATTAAGAGCATTCATCCTGCTGTGCTGTCACTGTCCCTCTCCAAAACTTGGTTACCATCACCCAGTGAAACTCTGTCTCCAGTAGACAATGACCTCCCTTTCCCCTTTTTCTCTGGCCCATTTTGACCATCATTCTGTTATCTATCTACTCCAGGTAGCTCATGTAAGTGGAACACACAATATTTGGCCTGTCATGTCCGGCTTCTTTCACTTAGCATTATTATCTTCAAGGTTCCTCCATGCTGTGGCATGTGACAGAAATTCCTGCCTTTGCAAGGCTGGGTAACAGTTTGTGTACACCACATTGTGTCCCTGCATCTGTTGATGACCACTGGTGCTACTTTCCTTCTGTAATCCTATTGATATGGTGGATCCCACTGACTGCTCTTCAAGCACTGAACCAACCTTACATTCCTTTTATTAACCCCATTTGGTGTGTAATGTAATTCTTTTTATGGACGGCTGAATTCTATTTGCTACTGTTTTGTTGAAGATTTTTACTATGTTTCCATATGTTTGTGAGAGGTATTGGTTTGTAGCTTTCTTTTTTGTGTTATGCTTATCTTGCTCTGGAATCAGGGTCATACTGGCCTCATAAGATGCACTGGGAAATGCACCCCTCTCTTGTTCACTACAAATTCAATTTTAAAAAAAATAGTTATTGGATTGTTCAGATTGTTCATTTCATTTTAAATGAATTTTTAGCCTTCAAGGAATTGATCCATTTCTCTTAAGTTGCCGAATTTATGTTTAAAATTGTTTCTGGCACTTCCCTTGTTTTTCTGATGTCTGCCAGATCTGTAGTGATGCCACATTTCATTTCTGATTTGCTAATCTGCATTTTCCCTTTTTTTAAATCAGTCTTCCTAGGAAGCTATTCATACTTCACTGATTACTTCAAAGAACCAGATCTTTTTAAATTGATTTTTTAAACTTACTTTTCTGTTTTTTATTTCGCTGATTTTTGCTTTTATCTTTGTTATTTCCTTCCTTATTTCTTTGGAGGTTTTTTTTTTTTTTGGTTGCTTGATCTAGGAGCTTTAGTTATTGAGAGTTTTCTTTAAGGTAGGTATTTTAGGGCTAAAATATTTCTTTTCAGCACTGTGTTAAGTGCATCTCAAAATTTTGCTATGTTGTGCTTCCATTTTCTTTCCTGGAGGTGTCCTATTTCGCACATGGGTTATTTAGAAGGATGTGGCCTTAACTGCTAAGCGTTTAGACTTTTTCAGGCTATGTTTCTGATTTTTTTTGTTTTTGTTTTTGTTTTTGTTTTTTCTTCCGGTACCAGGAATTGAACTCACGACCTTGCACTTGCCAGGCAGGCGCTTTGCCGCTGAGCTAAATCCCCAGCCCCTGATTTTTTTTTGTCTAGCTTGATTGCATGATGATCAGAGAACTTATAGTTTTTTAGATTTGTTGAGGTCTATTTTTCCATCCAGAATATGGTCTATTTTGGCCAGTGTTCCTGGGGCACTTACAGGAATGTGTACTCCGCTGTGGGCTTGAGTGTTCCCTAGATGTCAGTTACTGCTCACTGGTTGATGGTGTTATTCAGAAATTCTACTTTCTTGATTTTCTGTCTTTTGGCTCTGTCAATTGCTGAGAAAAGGGAGTTGAAGACTCCAACTTTAATTGTGGATTTGTCTCTTTCTCCTATCAGCTCCATCCACTTCTGCTTCAGCTCCATATCCTCTGTTCATGGACCAACCAGTGGGTAAGGCTGGAGCACGTTAAGAAAATGGGTCAAGTGAAGACCTCTAGGTAGACAGGGAAGTGAGAAGAGCCCTGGGTCCAGGCATAGCCTGGTAAGAAATGCCTGTCCTTTCCTACCCCTGAGCCTGTGCAGGTCATGTAATGTCATTGAGCCTCAGTCTCTCCCTCTGTGAAATGGGGATGAGAAAAGCCAGGTGGGAACTGTTATGAGGAGTTAGTGATGTTCATTGGTTTGGTTCTGTTCCAAAGCATAGAGTGAGCACTTAGTGTGTGCAGGACATACTTTGAGGGGCTGGGAATAGTGAGATAAAGAAGACCCCTATGCTAGCAGCCTACTAAATAGTCTACCAGCCTCTTACCAAGCCCTGGACAACATTCCCAAAACTCTGTATGCGTGAAGTCCTTCATAACGAGGTGGGTGTTTCCCTGATCCCTTTCTCCTGGTGGGGACTCTGAGGCACACACTAAATGACTTGCCCAAGGAGTGAAGCTGGCATCACCCCAAGCCAATCGTGATTGCTTTGTGATTTGTCCTCACAGCCAAGGAGCTGAGTCTGGTTCCTCACCCCGAATGTGCAGCCAGCTTCACTAGCAGAGTTGATATGAAGATTAAGAGACCAGTGGTGAAAAGAAACAAACACAGTGCCTCTGCATACTGGAGCCTTTCTCTCACCTTTGCTTCTCCGCTGGGGTGGATCTAAAGGCTGCCCAGGGTAGCCATGCTGGGTGCGTCTCCTCCCTGCGAAGAAAGCTGGTAGTTATGTCAAACAACATGGCAGTTATGTCTTTGTGCCCCCCACTTTGTGACCCAAGTGCACTGTGGCCCCACATCCCTGCCACTGCCCGGCACCTCTCCCCCACCGACCACGTGCCAGTCACCTCCACTCTGTGCTCCAGCGCTGCTCCGATGAGTCCCTTCACTCCACCAGGGCTCTGGCCAGGAATGAAAGTCCGTTTAATCTCAACTGCCAACTCAGGTTTGATTGGCAGTGGCTGGCAGGTGCCTTGTGGAGAGATTCCAAGCCCCTCCCCTTGGCTCAGTGTTCAAATGCTCTGATCGGCTAGTGATGTCTACCCCAGGGTAGATGCAGATGGGTACCTGGAGTCCTGAATCCAGTGTGAAATCGCAGATGCCACGCATGGTGTTCTCATAACCCTAGCCCTGAGATTTTCACCAGGGAAACAGAGCCTCAGAGTGGCTTATCCAGGCTCGTATTCCTGAGTGTGGCTTCGTGAAAAGCCCTGGGCTCAGACCCCAGTACCCCCATCCCCCCAAAAAAGATGAAAGGGACATCTTCTGTAAAATGGCAGTAATTCTGGTCACTCTGATGGGTTTTCTGGGATCGCTGTGACAAAGACAGGTCCCAAGGATGACCTAGGTCTGGCCAAGCTATAAGACTAAGGGGTGGGGAACAGAAGAAGGAGCCCCAGATAGTCTGCTGAAGGGTGTGACCACAGCCAGTCTCAAGTGCAAAGTCACTGTGTCCTTCAATCAAAGGAGAAGTAGCAGCCCCAGTTGGGGACCTGCCCAGCCCCAGGCGTCCCTTCTCCGCAGGATGAGGGTAGGGGGAGACTGCGACGGCTGGGCTGGGATAGAGTGGAGGGGTCCTGAGAAGCGGGGCTTGTAGGGAAAGGAGTTAGGGGAGGAAGCCCCAGACTTGGACTGTGGGTGCAGGCCACGCCCAGGGCTAGAGAGTCAAGAAAATTCTGCCCAGAGCCAGAAGTGTGATTGCAGATGTGAGCTCAGCGTGTGTCCAGGGAAGCCTATGCACGGGTCTCCACCACATCCTCCCAGTCAAGATCCCCTGCATCTGCCTGAGCAGGACAGGGTCAAGCAAAGACCTCTTCTCTCCTCCTCATTCTCTCCTGCCTCCTCCTCAGTTATTTCTCTGACCCTAATGCCTGACCACCCCCTTCTCCACCCACACCTTTCCTGTTGCTGCTCAAACACTAGGTACGCTCCGCCCCAGGGTCTTTGTACTTGCGGTTCCCTCTTCCTGGCATTCTTTTCCCCTGGGTCAGTACTCAGCAAACCACAGCCCATCACCTGTTTGTGTCAATAAAGTTTTATTAACTACAGCTACACCTGTCTATTGACTGGGATTCTTGCTCAGTGCTGTACCCTGGGACCAAAATAGGGCCTCATACGTAGTAGGTGTTCAGTAGAGACATTCTCAATGAATGAGTGAATATTTCCCACACTACTGGGGGTTATCCCTGTCTACACCTGTGACCTCTGCCTCAGTTTCTCTTGTCATAGAACTGAGTCCCTGGCAGATTTCTTGCCAAGTCTTTCTACCACCATCTCCATTTTATGAGGTTCTCATATCAAAAAGATATTTAAAAAAAACCCACGCATTCTATATCAGGGGTGCAGAAACAGTGGGGTTTTAAATACGTGTGTTTAACAGAATAACACTTTTAACCCATCAAGCTCACTGCTATGAATCAGAGCCATTTGTGAGATAATTACGGTGCTTATTTTCAGTAGTAATTAATGAAATTCAGTTA